AAACAAAACCTAAACTTTAGGTATGGTTTTGAAAAAATTAAAAGTTTAGATACTAAAACGGACCAAAACTGATAGTATATGTTGAATGCGTAATTTACCCTATGTTCAATTACCTCCCCTAAATTAGTTTCAATTTTTCATTTCAAGTAGCTCTCAATTTTGTCCTAAATTTTAAGTAATTATCCCTAATCGGATAATTTTCTTCTTCTTTTCTTTCCAACTTTTATTAATTATTATTTTTTTTATATAAAATTAGGACTTTAATTTGCTTGCGATAGATTAGGAATTCTATAAAAGATTAAAATTTATTGATTAAATGATTTTATGATTTTAATTTACATGAGATTATGATATTTTGATTGCATAATAAAGTTTAGAGATTGATCAATACAAAACTTCGAAGAAATTGAAATTTGTTATCTTTATCGTCTTTATTTTTTTAAATATTGATTACAAATTTAATATTTATTTAAAATTTGAGTAAAATACACAAATGATCATCTGATTATAGGTACTACTTTGTTAAGTCTTCCTCTTATTAAAAGTTATAAAATAATCTCTCGTCTATAGGTCATTACTTTATTAAGTCCCTCGACTATTAAAAGTTATAAAATTGTCATATATAGAGGTCATTACTTTGTTAAGTCCCTCGACTATTAAAAGTTATAAAATGGTCATGCCGACTATTCATATGTTACAAACTCATCCTTTTACATTAAAAAATTGACAATCGGCTAAGTTGGACATTAACTTGCTATTTGCTAACTGAAATATGATAGAATATGATCCTATAACCATTTGAGTTGTATAATCATTTGTGACTCTATGATCAGATTTTATTATATCTCAGTCAGCAGGTTAGCATCCAGCTCATATGCAGCGGCGGAACATAAGCAAGGCTAGTGGGGCCATGGCCCCCCACAACTTAAAAAATTATAGTTTAGACCCTTTAAATTTTAAAAAAATTAATTTGGTACCCCAAAATTTTTAAAAATTCAAGTTAAGGATATTCTCAACTAAATCCCCTCTCATAATTTTTAAAAAATCTTCTTCAGCCTCTCAAATTTCCCAAAAATTTTAGTTAGACCCTAATATTTTGGGGAAATCATAAACTAAACCCTTCAAAAAAAATTAAAGTTTTAAGTTGCCCCCAACTCTATCACCAAGTTCCACCACTGTTCACAAGTCTAAAATTTTTAATGAAAAATGGTGAGTTTGGAACATATGAATAGTCAAATGACCATTTTATAACTGTTAATAGTCGAGGGACTCAACAAATTAATGACATATAGTCGAGAGACTATTTTATAACTTTTAATAACCAGATGAATGAGTACCCTATAATCAGGGGACCATTTGTGTACTTTAACGTTAATTTTTTTTGTGAGACCATTTTTATTTTAGACGTGTAATCTACTTTTAAACAATTTAAAATAATTATAAAGTAATATCTATTCATAAATTTACAATCTATTTCTAGGTGAGTAGCTTCAAGTTGTCTCGAATATTTTTGGGGCCCTGAACGAAAACTCAAAAATAGTTCGTTATAGAAAGAAAGTATATTCTACTACTTTAAACAATTAATTTAATGTTATATTGATAAATCTTATAAAAATGATTAAATTTTATCGAATATTATTTTTATTGTTTTTTTAAGAAAACACCTTAAATACAACTAAGAGAAAAAATTGAATATGAGTATGAATTATGATTTTAACTTGATTTTGGAGAAGACTAAAAGTTAAATAATATTTGGTAAATTGAAGAATGAGATTTTTTATTAAAAAAGAGAATGTGATTAGATTTAATTCAAAATTAAATGAATTAATCGAGAGAGATGGAAAAAGGGATGAGAAATATATAATTTTATGAAATTAAAAAATTAGAGTCTGAATTATAATGGTAAAAAGTGAGATTGAAAAAACTTAGGTGCCTCAATTATAAATGTTGAAAAGTTAGATTAAAAAAATTAGGAACCTCAATTATAAAAGTAAAAAGTCGTATTAAAAATATTAGGAGTCAATTATAAAAGTAAAAAGTAAGATTGAAATAATTAACGACCTCAACTATAAAGATAAAAATAAGACTGAAAAAATTAAAAACTTTAATTATCATGATAAAAAATAAGATTTAAAAAATTAAAGGCTCTAATTACAAAGATTAAAAAATCAGAACCCTAATTACAAAGATAAAAAATAAAGGTGTTGAACTTGAACCATCGCTCCAGCACACCCCAATAGCCGGGTCTGAGTAGCTTTCGTAATCGTTTCATCGAGGTTACGTGCTAAATAAAAGATTTTGGTCACACGTGTACGACCAAGATAGCTCCAAAAATTCACAAGTAAAAACCTCTGTATGCACCGCAAGCGCACAGCAAAACATCCTCTTTAAATATTTCTTTATTATAAAAAAGAAAAAACAACTTTGAAAGACTCCCGTGAAGAGCGGCACGAGCAGGCCTTCTTCAAAAAGAAACGCGTTTCACCGGTATTACACTTTAAGATTTACACGTGGCAGTTCACCGGGATGACTAAAATAGAAGGCTGTTATTGGAATTTTGTGTGACAAGAAGGTACCTCTAAAACTTAAGGGAAAATTTTATAGAATGACAATAAGACCAGCGCTGTTATATGGATCAGAATGTTGGGCTATCAAGAAGGATCACGTAAGGAAGTTGGAGGCCGTAGAAATGAAAATGCTTCGATGGGTATGTGGTAGGACTCTATGGGACATGACACCAAACTCTGCTATTAGGATGTCCTTGGGGGTGGTGTCTGTATCCGAAAAATTGAGGGAGGGAAGACTACGGTGGTTTGGACATGTCCAAAGACGACAACCATCGGATACGGTTAGGAGGGTAGAATCGATTTCAGTCGACGGTACCAGAAGGAGAGGTCGACCAAGGCGGAAATGGGAAGACTGCTTGAGATCTGATTTGAATGATTTAGCCCTTACTGAGGACATGACCTCTGATAGGAAATTATGACGACTTAAGACCAGGGTAGCCGAGTAGGACGAGTCACATCCATTGAATGTATCATCTTTGTCTTCTTTTAATGTCTTTATAGTAATTTCATCACTTATACTTTTTATACGTTTCTATCATTAGAATTAATAAAAGACTAGAACTAAGGTAGTGGAGTAGTATTGCCTTAGTTTTAGGTTTTAACCCATTTGACTTTATCCCTTCTCGAAGCCTGCTATAGTTGAATTCTGTGTATACTGCTCTTCATGTTTCCTCTTTATAATTTTGGTCGGGTCTTACGTTTCTGTCTATATGCAGATATTTTTACGCAGGGGTTTATTTGTAGGGATTACTTTCCATTACAGAAGTGCATATGAGGGCTGCATATGAAGATTGTTCACATACGTATTTTATTTATTTATTTAAACATGCATTGTATTTTATCTTTATTTTTAATTTTTTTTACTGCCGGAGGTCTTCCACGGAAGCTGCTCTCAACCTGGCGTTGGGGGACAGCCTACTACACTACCTCCCCTTACCCCATTGCATATGGGAATAGGGTTTTGTTGTTGTTGTTGTTTTTGTCCTGTACTCGTATCAACCGGATCGCAAAACTAAATTTTTATGTTATTATATATTGAGCCGCATTGCTAAAATTGGCGATTTTATATAAAATAAAAAAATCATGCAGTTTAACGAATGCCCTTATGCAGTTTTCTTGTAGAATGATATCTAAATTTTTTCGACTTATGAACTTCTCCTTTACGATGGGTGAGTATGTTAGATTGAGCCTGTAGTATTTAGAAAGGTAAGTCCCTCCTCACTACTATCTTAAAACTTATTTGGTGCGCTTTAATCTATTCATTGTGGGAGGAAAGAAACAAAAGACCATTTAAAAGAAACAAAAGAAGTGAAAGAAATGATGTACTCAATTAAGGAGACTGTACGTATTCAATTAAGAGGAATGAACATAAATAGATTATATAATATTAATATTTACCTTTATAATCGTTGGGGTGTTGACCATCCAATAATGTTGTAAGTAGACAGTCATTATCCAATGTTGGGATAATATTTTGTATCCTTTATCCTGTTGTTGGGATTTTTTTGCAGAAGAATTTTGCATCTTGGATAATAAAATTAAATTTATCCAAAAAAACATCAAAATATTATAATATTACCGGTCAGATATCATTTCTTCAAATTTTATTAATATAGTATTCTTTCTAATAAGGTGCGTTACTTGAAACACACCTTTACTTAGGTGGATCGAAGGCGTGCAATGCGCCTTCCAAAGTCCACATCATCCTCAAAGCATTTTAAAAAAATATGTTTAAAAAATAAAAAAATAAAACTATACGAACTAACATCGTAATTTAATACATATTAGTTTCATGAGTTGAAGAGTTTAATGTGATTAGTTTATATCCAACATTATCAAAAAAACATAACTTAAAAACTTCAATATACCTATATAAACTAACTTCATTAAACTATTCAACTCATAAACTAATATGTATTAAATTATGATGTTAGTTCCTATATTTTTATTTTTTAAAGAATATTTTTTTAAAATGTTTTTAGGAATGATGTGAACTTTGAAAGGCGTGTCCCTTGGAAAGCTTCTTCCCACGTGGTGTTATGTCAATATTTTTTCTTGAAAGACGTTTCAAGAAATACACCTTCGATCTTCCTAAGTAAAATTGTGTTTTACATAAAACGTCTTATTATAAATGATATTATATCGATAACATTTAAAAAAGTGATACCTAAAAGATAATATTATATTGTGCCTGAAAGATAATATTATAATATTTAGGAAGTTTTTTTTTAGGTAAAAACCCCCGCTAAAATACGCCCCGCACCGTCTTCTCCCTCTTCGTAATCCTTCCTAGCGTGTAATAACAGAACAGCCCACTGTTTTACTCCTCTCTGTCTCGTTAGAACAAACATTTTTTTTCATTTTTTAAATCTTCGATTCTAATTTGAATCCCAATTTTTTTGAAAACATTACCTTTAATTCTTTCAGTTTACAGCAATCGAAAAGAAAATGGAATCTGAGAAGCCAAATTATGGTGCAATAATGGTTTTCTTCACAAAGCCTTCATGGGCTTTCCTAGTTCTACTCTTTAAAGTCATATCAATCTTCTCTCTTCAAATCTCTCCAAAATCTATTCTTCCTTTTCCGTTATTCCCCGTTTCCGGATCATCTGGACCCCACTTCGAGTCCAGTTTTGAAACCGGAAGTTGCGCCGCGTTTTTCGGGAAGTTGCCGATGAGGAAACACGTTATGTCGTTGAAGGACTTCGGCGGAGTTGGCGATGGGAAAACGTCTAATACGGCGGCTTTTAGGAAGGCGTTGGATTACATGCAACGTTTTAGCGAGAAAGGCGGTGGTCAGCTTAATGTTCCCGCAGGGAAATGGCTAACGGGAAGCTTTAATCTTACTAGCAATTTCACATTGTTTCTTGAACAGGGTGCTGTTATTTTGGGCTCTCAGGTAAGAAATGCTCTGCTTTTAAAACATTTAATTTTTTGAAAGCTTTTAAGTCTTAATTGCTCCATGCTTTTTAGTCTCTGCCCTTTTTTGTATTGTTTAATTTGTTGGGTTAAGCTTTGTGATTAATGGGTGTTGAACATAAGCTTGAGTTCTGGTTAATTATGCTGTCAGGTAGAAGCCAATTGTGGATTGCTCTGTTTCCTTTTTATAAATGCTTTCTTCTTCATTTCAACTTCTTTCCGCCTCTGGGTACTTTGCTTTTTAATGAAATCTTCTTTTCCCCATTTCAGCTGAAAAATAAGGAAGAAAAGAGCCTTTGTAATAGGTTACTTTTAAAAGGGAGAGGGGCTTTATGTAAAAGTTGGGCAGATTTTCTTTTAGTGCTTGTTTGAAACGTATCTATGTTCGGTCATGCTGTATTTTTCATGCTTTGTTCTTTCTCATGACGTTTTCTTCATTAAAAGAGAAACAAAGTTGGTTTTAGTGGTGCTGATGTGCAACTTCAACTAAAGGGGTCCCATTAATTTTTTTTCTTCTCGTTTCAGTTTAAAATTGAGCTGTTTTCTCTTGTAGGCTTCATTTGATTCTATCGAGGAAAAGAGAATGCCATGAATGTTTTGATCAAATTAGGTTATGCATTTGTTTTGGGTTCATTGAATCAAGTTGGTTGAGTTAGAAACTTGTTTCTCACTACCCAACAGCTTGTTTAATAGACGTATAATATTTGGCCATTTTAATTTATATCTGTCATTCCATTAATTTGTTTATCAACTTTGAGCATAAGATATAAGTGCAATGGAGGTGGATTACCGTGTATCACACTTCTGGTATACTAAATTTTGTATAAATCTTGAGAAAGAGGAAATGTTTTAGTGTTTGTTTATTATTTATTTAAATTTGTTGCCAAAACTGTAGATTTTTAATTTTGCGTTTACGAATGATAGGACCCTGAGGAATGGCCTATTGTAGAGCCATTGCCTTCTTATGGTAGAGGGAGAGAGAGGTTGGGAGGAAGGCACATAAGCCTTATTCATGGAAATGGTCTCATCAATGTTGTCATTACAGGTAATTTTATTTTTATTTCTCGTAATAACATGAAAAAGAAAGAAGAGTTGTGTTTTTACATAAATGAGTCGAGAACTAAATCAAACTTATCTCTTTCGACAAAACAAAATCTTCTCATTGCCCGTAAAACCAAATATATTTTTTTAGCTCTCAAGTGTAAATGGACTCCCTCGAGTACTTTTTTTAGTTGTTCTTCATGTCCAGGATACATCGTAAAGCACAAGGTTTACCTTCATATCATTTTATACGGATAGTGTAGTAGCGTTACATTTATTTCCTGACATAAGTTATTCTCTATTGTAGTTGAATTAGCTAAAGGCTAAAGCTGCCCCAGAATGACATTATGGATATGGATTTACATATTGCATTCACATTCATTTGAAGAAAGAAAATTATATATACCATTTAGCTGATCACTAATAGAAACATCATCACCTTTTTCTTAATGTTCAATAAATATTCAGAGGGATCTTAAGCAGCTCAAAAATTGTTAATGGCTGGTACTTCAATGGGGGCCACCCTAGGATTTTTTTTTGGTATGCTCTAGTTGGATTGAACTGATCAGGCGCATATCGGCAATAAATTTTAATCCTCTTGATACGCAGGCTTCGGCCTTATATGGAAAAGCAAATTGGCGCTTATTTCTACTAGACTAGTGACATCATTTACCTTATTTAGAAAATTTGCCATAACCATAATAACTTCTACCATGAAACTTGTACCTGATGTGGAGGATTTATCAATTACGTGTGATGAGTTGTTCTAATTCTGTAGGGAACAATGGCGCAATTGATGGTCAAGGTCAAATGTGGTGGGAATTGTGGTGGAACAGAACGCTAAACCACACAAGAGGCCACCTTGTAGAACTAATGAACTCTCAGTACATTCTTATCTCAAACTTAACCTTCCAGAATTCGCCGTTTTGGACCATTCATCCTATTTACTGCAGGTATGACATCTCTTAATTTTTAATAGTTCATCTAGTTTCATTTGTTGATCCATTTATTTTGTATGCTTTTATATTTTGAGCATGAATATTTAATTTTATTAAGGTCAAAGCATCAACCTCTTCTGATCCAATGTGAATGTAGGATGCATCCCCTGGTACTTGGTAGTGTTTGCAAAGCCGTAAATAATAATTTTGGTTGCAAAATCAGTTTTAAGAGAGTGAATATTAATATTTTAAGATTTCCCTACTATGCGCCTTCTCCCATTTAGATATTTACACCCCAAAATTACTTGTAAGACATAACGAAAAGAACCGAGAGATTCTGTTATGGATCCAGATGTTACTTCTCACAGTATTCTCAAATATTACAATTATAAGAAAGTAACTAATCGTTAGTTTTTTCTACTTTTTCTTTCAGCAATGTAGTTATTAAGGGCATGACAGTATTGGCTCCACTGAATGCCCCAAATACTGATGGAATAGACCCAGGTATGATTCACCGTCTTCTTGTGTGCTTTGTTCCGTTTTGCATCTAATATGAACAACCTAAATCTCATAAAATAGAGACATCTTTTCTGACATCCTTATTGAACTTTGTGCAGACTCAAGCACCAATGTATGTATTGAAGACTGCTATATCGAGAGTGGAGATGATCTTGTAGCAGTGAAAAGTGGATGGGACCAATATGGCATCAGAATGGCACGACCAAGCTCTAACATAAAAGTGAGGAGAATCTCAGGCACTACACCAACTTGTTCAGGTGTTGGTATTGGGAGTGAGATGTCTGGAGGGATTTTTAACGTAACTATCGAAGATATGCATGTTTGGAATTCGGCAGCTGGGGTCCGTATAAAAACTGACAAGGGAAGAGGGGGATACATTGAGAATATCACAATAAGCAATATAACGATGGAACAAGTCAAAATTCCTATTAGGCTCAGTAGAGGCTCCGATGATCACCCCGACGACGGATGGGATCCTAAAGCCATGCCTAAAATAAAGGGGATTTTCTTTAGTAACATTGTTAGTTTGAAATCATCAAAAGCTCCAGTACTGGCCGGTATTCATGATGCATCATTTGAAGGGTTATGCTTCAAGAACGTTACCTTACTCGGACTTTCCCCAACTGCAGCATGGCACTGTGAGTTTGTTTCTGGTTGTGCGGATGCAGTGTTCCCATTGCCATGTCCCCACTTGCAGAACAATGGCTCCTCAACGTGTTGCTCATAGGCTCAAAGTTTCGAGGTGAGTTCCTTCTCGAGTGCATGTGGAATTTTCACCCATGGCCAAAGACACTTCGAACACATAGGACCACAAAGGTGAATCATATGGTAAGCATGAGATGCATGCATACTGCAATTTTGTCGAAATACATAACATTCATTGAGCAGTTGGGATTGCTTGGGTTGACAGATTTGTCTTGTTCGAACTGTATTACAGTGTGAGTGTTAATTTATATTCTTTTCACATGTGTAATAAAATGTATCCCATGTATGGTGGTATATTATATTTATTGATGTGTTAAGATAAATAGATGTTGATATTTGCATATTTAACAACTGTGTGTAAGCCTCATCATGCATGCATAGATACTGCAAAAATAAGCAAGTTTGAGCTTCAACCGAACTAAGTTCGAGAACATTTAAGATTTTTCGAGATCGAGTCAAGCTTGACAATTTTAAACTCGCAAACTTTCGAGTCAATTTCAACTTTGAACATTTCGAATGGAGCTTTACAATCTCATTTACAGCCCTAATAATCAGGATTAATTTTCGGGTGTTTTACGAAATAAGAGCATAGCAGTACAGATAAGAATGAAAAAAATTAGGTACATGGTTGAGGTAGAGTGGAAGGTTTTTAAGTGAAAAATACATTTGGGTTCTCTTCACCATTTCCAGAAAACATTGGAACCGCACTTGTATTTGTCCTTTCCTTCACACTCCAAGGCCAAATCATCAGAGATGAATGGTACTTTCTGCATCCTAGGGTTTAGGAAAACTCTAATGAATAATAGGCACAATGTTCAAGACCGTTATTTGTTTTCTCTTAGAAATTGTAACACCCTTACCTGACTCGAACGTTAAGTAGAAAATACAATATTCAATTAACATAACTTTTATCTTATCAATTAAGGACAATTGTAACTAAATTACGTATGTAGGGACTAAATTACAAACTTATAAAACTTAAATTTAAAAGTCATTATCACGTTATACAATCAAATGATTGCTTAAAAACATTAATAGTATGAACTTATTCATGAAGATATCAAATGAGTGCAAACATGTTATTTCTAAATTTATTTTTCAAGTTGGCATCAAGAGTTTCGAATTTTTTTAAGAGTATTGATATTTTAAAACCTACTAGAAAGAAAGTATTAAAATTTTAAAAGACTATTAATATTTGTATAAAAGTATCGATACTTGTTCAAATATTCAAATTAACATTTAGCCAAAGATTTAGCTACTCAAGATCCAAAAATGTACTTATGCAATTTTCATGAACTAGTTTAGGTCATTTAGCTATCCTAGCTTCCAGGTGATATCAATCCTTATCAAAATGCTTCTTTAACATCTTAAACAGATTTCAAATATGTCAAAAGGTCTAATTGATCATTTCCCAACTCAGTTACACTTCATATGCATGATTTGATTCATCAAGTAAATTTGCATGATTTTCTTATGTTTTCGGTATGGCAAACTTGCAATACACTTCACATGCACTTCCTTCTAAATATTTGAACCTATCACAAACCATATGCATTTCATCCATGTCTATCATGTTTTAAACATCATAGTTAGCATATTTATACGTTTAATATCTTATAGTATATGTACAATTAGGGGTGGGCAAAACTCAACTCGATTTGAAAAATTAATTTTCTCGACTTTAATTTACTTCGAGTTGGAATTTCATAAACTTGGCTCGACTTGAAAAAATTTCAAGTTCAAATCGAGTTGTAGAATACAACTCGATTAACTCGGAATTTTTAGTAATTAGTAGATTGATTTTCAAGTTTGAGTCGACTCCCTCGACTTTGTATGATATGTGTAAATCACATATGAAAAAAATACGAAAAAATATATATGTATTTCATATAGGTATAAAATACCATTTAAATTGGAATCAAATAATGTTATAATATTGTAAATATTTACAATTGAATTTAAATAATAACTCAAAAATTTGACTCAACAAAAGCGAAGAAATTTCAAGTCAACTTCAAGTTATAAAATGTGACTCGTCAACTCAAATAACTTAAATTTTTTTGACTCGACTCGATCGAACACTCACCCTGCATACAATTTAACTATATGAAATATCATATACCTACTCTTATTGCTTAAACCACCATGCCACTTAATCACATTCAAATTAAACACTAGTTTGAATATGTTTTCATACTACTTCATATGCATATCAACATAAATAACCTTATAACTTCGTCTATACATTTCAAAGATTATCATCGAACGGTAGTCTAAAACAGGGGCGAACACATTTTAATCCATTCGAAAAATCGATCTTTTTGACTTGACTCGAGAAAACATAACTTGAATTAACTTCGTGTTGTAATTTTATAAACTCGACTCGAAAAAGTTTCAAGTTCAAATCAAGTCGTAAAATACAACTCGAATAACTTAAAATTTTTGGTTATTAATGGGTTAATTTTTAAGTTTGAGTTGAGTTTTGTATGACATATTGACGCCGGACATAATAGTGATTATCCTGCAGGCGTTCCAACAGATGATTCACAAGAGAAAATTCGCCCAAAAAAACCAGAGAAAAAAAGTCTCTAGGGTTTAATAAAATATTATAAAATCAAACAATGCCAAAATCAGTCCACAAGCCGGACTGTTATAGCCAAAAATCGTCTTTATTCGAATTTTACCAAAAATAGAAAAATCCCGAAAATCACTCTAAATTGAAATTCGAAATAAAATAAGCAATCTCTAAAAAATCCAGCCTAAATCGGATTTAAATTGACTTCCTAATTGACAATCAAAATATTACCATAAATAGTAAAAAAAATATCTAAATCTAGTGATTCGGAGGGGAAAACGACGGAATTTGAGGTTGAAAAAAAGGCCACATGGAGCATAGCTCAACGTGGAGAGCGTGCGCGTTGAAAAGAGCTTTCCGGATTGGGGTCTTATGCGCGATTCTGACACCTGTAGCCAAAGTTATGGCCAAAAGACTGAAACATACTCAAAACGACCCCAATGAGGAACATGTCACAATCAATTCCCGCCTTTGCGCTGATATGCCAATTCATGGTATCTCAGCACCATCAAGGTGCAATCTGACAGCTCAACATCATCTGTCTCGGATCCCCCTACATCATATATGCATATAACATGTGCAAAAAATGAGGAAATATATATGTATTGTATATGGTTATAAAAATCATTTAAATTAGAATAAAATAATATCATAATATTATAAATATTTATAATTAAATTTAAACAGAAACTCAAAAATTTAAGTCAACTTTGATTTGTAAAATAAAACTCGAATAACTCAAAATTTTTTGACTTGACTCGAATGCTTACCCCTAGTCTGACTTGTAAATCTTAGTGTGCATGCCATTAACTTAGCAAAGATAAAACTAATACGGAAATATTTTCAGATCAATAAATAATGATATTTTAAATCTTCTTGAGAAACATTTTTTTTTGCGTCAAACCTTCTTATGATTCAGAGTTTCATTGCCACGAGTATTAAGACTTATAAGTTTACTTTTACTTTGAATAAAACTAGCTTGAGCCAAGAAAATACACGTTCTTAGTCCCAACTTATGATCAGACGAAATTCATTATCCTTGAGTATTTACCCTAAACGAAAACCAACATCTACTGCCACCAAGTCCTTCTCTCAGCTCTTCTAACACCATCCACAGCCATCAAGTGTAATCCTGTACCAAACAAATACCGAAAAAGAAGCTCTCATGCTTGACTGCATTGCTTCTTCATATCAGGCTCTTAAGCTAAAGAAATTCTGACAATTTTGATTACAAAAGCATTGGTTCAACAATCAGAATATACACATCTTGATTAAACAATTCATTCCACGCGCCATCTCTTTCCTCCTTTTGAGATATAGTTTAGGGATTGATAATGCAAAGGCTAGCAGCCATAACATTTTGAAACTGCAGACGACTAACTCCAACTTGTCAAACCTAACCGGTCCGCAACATTATACATTGCCAGTTGATCCCAGGTATGACCAAAAATATGTTCTCCTCCTATGGAAAATGTCAACACCCAAGAACACAAAAGAACTGAAAACACAGAAAACCCAATTGCTGATGCCACAACATCTGCGAAAACAAATGTTTATTATAACAAACGAGCAATAATCCTAGACTTCGCAAGGAAAAAAAATATGCAAAGAACCTGGAAGAACAATGTAAGAAATTTAAATGATTGATTTGATTCAAACAAAAATCATGAATATCAATAGTTTTCACAATATCACACCATCCCCCTCAAAGAAAAGGTTTATTATTCCATCTTTTATAAAAAAAAAAGGCCCCTTTCTACAATGTCCCAAGTTTAACTTGAAGATATAAATCAAAATCTTCTAACAATGTTGACAATTTATTCGGAAGTATGTATATTTGTTTGCCATGAGAAAAAAAAAAGGTACAATGCTTTTGATGGAGAATAAAAATATTAAAGGATAAATTACGATGAACAACATTTAAAGTGGTGTATTATCATTTACAGTATCAACTTTCACCCAAAAGAAGTAAAAAACAAGCATAAGTTAAACAAGATCTATTATCAAGAGCACTCTTAGGTACTAAGCCCTTCTATTGCCCAGCGCAGAGAAAATAACACTCTTATCGAGTGAAGTGAAGGAGCATGTATATATATTCCTCCTCTATAGGGATTAGATATTCTCCTCCTTTTACTAAGATCACAACTGAAAAAAGAAACTTAAAAGAAATCAAAGAGACTTCAATTAGATGAGCTTTCTCTGCGCTTCACCAAAAAAACCTGCACCCAAGTACACAAGGCATGTGCCTGATCACAAGCAACTCTTCTAGCTCTTGCTAGATGCATGATACCTATTATTTAGTGCTGCACCTTAAAATCAAGGCATATGCCTTAACAACTTACTGGGCCAACTGAAGCATTTCCTAATTTATATTCAAGGAAAACACTAACGTACATAAAAATAGTTATTTCTGTATTTGTCAAAACAAAAACAAAATTTGATTAAGCAATTCATATGTGTCAAACTGTCAATGCCAAATACACATGATTCTTATCTAGAAGATTAAGTTTCACTGTTCATAAATGTATCCTTCATAAAGATGGTCTTTTCAGTTACTTGTACCAATCAATCTACCAAAGTGACCAAAAGACTTCGAACTTGCAGAAGCTTTATAGAGCATAAGTGGACAGAAAACACTTTGTTAAAGAACATTACCGAAGGCTAAGTTGTTTGCTAATACAGCTTTACACCGTAGAACCCATGTTTAACAAGTGCTATCGAGGGCTAAGGAACATAG